AAGTGAACCCTTCTGGTCCAGTATCTGCGGTATTTGGACCTTTCCGAGCTTAGCTTTTGATTTGAAAAACATTATGGGTGAAAATTGGAGTGGTTTGATGAGGTCATTGGACGTCACCAAAACGAATCTGATCTACAAATGGCTTCAACGGATTCACGGAAGCGTAGAGAGAAGCGTGGATCCGATTCCACGATAAACAACCGTACCTTCGTAACCTGGAATCCTGGACCTTCTCTAAGCTCAAGCTGCGTTCTTGAAAACTAAAAGCTGTGTAAATTTTTTCACAAGAATGCTGGGTTGTGAACAAAACTTTCGCCCCAGGCGGGACTAGAACCCGCACCTCTCGCTTTCCGGGCAAGTGCGCTACCAGTTACGCTACCGGGGCACCATTTCATCCCAACTCACTACCGGGGCACCATTTCATCCCTGTTCGATGTAAATTATATTTTCAAGCTTCTCGAACTTAAAGGCACCGAGTACGACAGTCCTGATGACATCACTGGACGTCGTCAAACGAGCTTGGTCCACCAATGACGTTCAATGACGTCATCGGAACAGCCCGCCCTCCAGTCATCTGTTCACTGCCTTTATCCGTCAATTTTCAGTGTTTAATGAGAGTGGTCCGATGATACACGAGATTCCAATGGTTGTTGACCCGAAGTGTAATCGTCCATGGAGTGATAAGGTCACTATTTTTTATAGTTATAGTTTTTTATAGGAAAATGATAATTAATTGTATGAAGGCAGAGATAGGGGAATACTCTAATAAGTAGCCTGAAAATGCATACTTGGTTGTACCATTACTGCCATGATTTCTTAGTTACCTCTCTTGTTTAAGCTTCCCTTCCAATGCTGAAGACTATCTTTGTGCAACATCGTTGAATATGGAGGACTATTTCGCTCCCCGAACATGCCACGTAAGTTACAGAATTTGTCACAGAAGCCACGAGCTGGTCGGAGCATTTGGGCAAATCCACATCCACTATAAAGGGAGGCAGGTATCTCAAAGGACGATTCGACGAGGACGACGACAAAGAAGGGAACTACCTAGTGGAGAGCCAGGCGGACATCCTAAGGGTGCGGACCGACACGCAATTCGCATCGAAGGATATGCTCCCGGCGATCTAGCATGGCCTTCCCGCGGCGCAATTGGCGCGCTATTGGCGCGGTACGCCCCCTCTCGTCGTCTCGTGTCTGAGTCTCTAGCCGTTCAGCAGAGAGAGCGTTAGCGTTGAAGAGGGCAGCACCGATGAGAGTCGCATCAATGCGCAAATCAACGGGCAAGGCAGTCAAAGAGTGGGTTCCCATTTATCGGGTTCTTAGGCTCCATTTTTCCAAGTTTTTCCTTCATAATGTCGAATTTAATTTCCTATAAGCTGCCTTTCATCGTAAAGTCCGCATCTGGAAAGGGGGAAGGTTGCACTGGTTAGGCGACTTACTCGCCGCGGACGATTTTCATCTGGATGGCGATACCGCAGGAAGGACCGTGCCGCGCGCGAGAGCATGACGCAGTATGAGGTAGAGGACCTTCGCAGTGTGTCTCTCTTATATTACTCTGTACTCTATTCGTGCCGCATACACCTCTAGCGTCTTACCTTCTTGCCGCGCGACGGGCCTCTGGGGCAGAGTCAACCCTGCGTTGCGCAGTTCAACGGCCACGTTGCGCAGTTTCGCCCGATTAGACACGTTCTCTCGCGCGAACATTCACACTCGCATGCTCGAGCCGTCTGCGTCTCCGCCCATACAGCGTGCGTTGAGGATCTCTCAACGTGCCGTTGCGAACTGCGCAACGCAGGGTTGACTCTGCTGTGGGTGCCCTTGCTGCTGCCCCCGCCCACCGATTGTTCACCTCTTCTGCTGGACCATCGCCCTCAGATTTTAGCAGCCCTATTGGAGCAGAACCAGAGTAGGTCCCTCATGCACAGCTGACGTCAGCACCGAAGTGGCTCGCGCAATGTGGAAATCTGATATTTATGCAGTTTTTTGATATTTGATCAATGTTGAAGTTTTAACGACTTTTTGTTTGAATATAGTCCAGTCAGGAGAGAGAGGGGGACTGGGGGGGGGCATCATGATGGAGTTCTCCAGAAAAACGTTACTCCGGATAGGGTGCGTGGGCAGTTGTGGGATGGGGGAGGGAGGGGGCGGAGGCGTGAGTGCGAGTCACTTGACATGGGTGAACTAAGCTGGACTGTCAGGTTACACTAGTTCGCTAGAAACTTGGCGTCATGATGCCTGCTACTGGATAGACCCTTCCGGATTTGATATGCACCTTTAATAGGCGTATCATATATTGCCTTCGAGAAGTAGCAATTATGCGTAGAACTGCTAAGGGGGCTATCACATCTTTCACTAGGATTACAGGGACGACAGTGGATGCCGGGGATGGGCAAAATCGCACGAAGTGGACGCAGGTATTTTAATGTCGTGACTGTCATTTAGACAAATAGGATGTCCAGCAAATGAATTGGCCAGGTAAAAATCCTTTTTAGCTCAACTGCAGCACGCATTTCAAACTGATAGATGTCATTTTTCAGATTCACTCGGGTAGATCCATACCTGCGCTCAATTTGTACATACACGGGTGTTTGTTATTCACATCAATAAAGATTAATAATCCGTTGTGAACTCTTTGTAGTATGAATGTATGAAAGACTACATACTCCCCTTCAAAAAGCGAGAAAGTGTCGGGTGCAGACCATGCACCACAAGTGACGACGGCCTTCACAAAATGTTAATGTTTTCTGCCAATGAAATGATTAGCCTGTTGCAGTTGTATTCTATCGATTGTCACTAATTACAACTATCATTTACCAGAAATCAGCTATCACTATGAACAACTTCTAACCAGATTTACTGGAGGCCGTCGTCAGTTGTGGTGTTTGGTCTGCACCCGACACTTTCACGCATTTTTGAAGGGGAGGTTATAAGGCTGTGCAGAAGTTGTTCGATCTTGGTGATACGTTAATCCTTTTTCGTTCATTTCTTGAAAAAAGTTGGTCAGATCATGATGTTTGAGACGCTTACCACGCGCATATATGTGATACTTAGATTTACGGCAACCAAGTGAGGAGCATTGGTCGCTCAGTCACATCAATAGTTAACTGACTGATGGTCCGCCATCTTTGAAAGCCGCCTCCACGATCTACTGTCTAGAGCATCTACTGTGGTGGACCTGCCTTCAATGAGGTCCTTCTTTATGGCAACCTCGACCTCTTCTTTGGGGCTCCTCGCGGTCGCTTGCCTTGCGCTTCGAAGTCCATTGCTTTCCTTATTGGGTGGTCCTGTGGTCTTCCTTAGCACGTGCCCATACCATCGCAGTCGCTGTTCCCTACCTTCAGCTGGACAGGGGCAGTCTGCATGACCGCTTTGACATCCTCGTTCCTGACCCTGCGTGTCCCCTCCAGACGCAGGTCCTGTTTTCAGCGGAGTAAACCTGCCTTTCGTGATTCTTGTTCAGGGGCCAGCACTCGCTGCCGTATAGCATCGCAGGCCTTACCACTCCGGTACACCTTCCCTTTGAGCGCTCTGGAGCACCTTCGATCGCAGAGGATTCCAGTGGACTCCCTCCATTTCATCCATGCAAGCCTTCACCGCCTGATCCACACTACCGTCGGCTGCCAGATCGCTCCCAAGGTATCGGAAGTCCTCCACTCTTTTCGATGGTTCACCATGGCCGTCCACGATCGGCTCTGCACCCACTTCGGAGCTCAGGAACTTGGTCTTCTTGACATTCATTATAGCCCTCGAAAAGAAAAACCCATCCCTTGGACACAGCTTCGAGCGTTCATCCGTGTATTTACTGCCTGATACACACTACCGTCAGCGGTAATCGTTCGAAAAGAACGAAGCGAAAAGAAGAAGCGTGAAATAGGAAAATTGGAGCATTTAGCATTTCCTCAGACATATTTACCACATATCTACTTCCTCCCTCCACCACCCCCCCCCATCCACTCGGAACTGAGTGTGTCGGTATGTGGACTGGTCTCAGTATCAAACACACAGAAGCAGCCACGTTGGTGAGGTTAAAGTTGGGGGAGGGGTGCGGTGAGGAGGGTCACGGACTACTTGAACCTGGTCCTTTAAGCCGCCTCAGATCCATCTCTCGTCTGCGCTCTCTCGCCTTATCAGCGGCTCATAACTGCTCAGTAATCGTAATCTCACGCCTATTTTTCTCTAAATACCTTCATGCACCGCCTTTTCTTTTTGCGGAGGTGAACCTTAGGCTTAGATGGTGAGTCCATAGAGCAGTATAGCTCTCACATCGAGGTCATTAGCGATTCGACAAACTTAAACGTAAGGTC